TTCAAACGGCCGGAGATGGGAGATTGGAATCAAAACGATTTCCAGCTGATGCTGATGATGCTCGCCCTGCGGTTCGCTGAATCCATCCAATGACTGGGTCGAACTGCTCGCCTTGCTTTGCATTCAAACGGCTGGAGATGGGAGAATGGAATCAAAACGATTTCCAGCTGATGCTGATGATGCTCGCCCTGCGGTTCGCTGAATCCGTCCAATGACTGGGTCGAACTGCTCGCCTTGCTTTGCGATCAACCGGCTGGAGATAGCCAGTGCTTGTGCGTATGCGCATGTTGGAGGGCAGTGAATTAAAAGAGTCCGTTCGGGGCGCATGTCTCGTCTCGTTGGGGAAATATTTTCTTAGTATAAAGTGTTTTTACTTGTTGTTCTAAGCCTCTATCTAACCCCTTTGATATGCTGTCGGAACAATAGAAGTGTTAACAACCGAAACTCTAAACCCTACGCCCTATGACCCATGAAAGTCGGTAAACCATGTTTTGAGATTGTTCTCCTCAGGCCCTAGGGGCTCTAGTACCCTATATAGTAGGTACCTGGAGGGTTAGGGCATGTTTTGAGATTTCTTTCCTCAGGTTGACCTACGTCCGCGCCGCCGTCGCCAAGTGCGGAGACGAAACTGTCGCTCAGTAGCAGAGTAGTAGACCTTAAGGTTGTTGGATTAAGTTAGGGGGTTTAGGGTTTTAGGGTTTAGGTTTGAGGGCTTGGATGCAAAAGGGTGTAGGTTTAGGGAATTCGGGTTCAGGGGTTTTTTATAGCTCTCTTCAAGCTGTTGGGAACTCGATAACCCTCTGAAGGTGTTTTGAGGATTCGATTATAGCCCTGCTTGGCGGTTTTGGTGGATTTCACAACCTTCTTTGTGATGGAAGGTAGAATTGCTTTTTTTTGTGCATGTGAGCTGGGCAACTAAGGTCGTGAAAAGCTTTGGTGGCTTTGTGGACCATTACCACAAGGACCGGAGTGATAATTGCTGACGGACTCATACTTAGTCATACTTGGTGGGCATTTAAGCGATTGGATTTAGGGGCGGATAATCTCCGTGGCCCAGAACAAAGCTGCCTTTTCTGCAGTCGCCGTGTCGACCGACGAGTTTTGCACGTTTCTGGTGGCTAGTCGCAAGTCGAAGAAAAACACGGCAGAATATCCGCTAATCCCAAACACCCCGAAGCCCTGAACCATGCCAGGCCAGCCTTGTGCGAGTGTGTGAGTCGAAACAGCGTTCGGGTGGTTTTGTTGCAGTTTGGAATAGAGGCTTTGCTGGGGGATTCCCGTGCTCCCACGCCTAAACAAGAGCTGTCCCCAAATTTCAAGCCCTAGAAACCCCATACAAATCCTCTGTCTATCTATCTATTTATCTATCTCTCTATCGATGTATCTATCTATCTATATCTATAGCTATATATTTAAGTATATTCGTATTTTCATCCATGTCTGTATGTATATACATATATCTATACATATGTATATACGTACATTGTATATACATCGTGTATATATACATATATATATATATATATACATATATATATATATGTGTGTGTGTGTGTATGTGTGTGTGTAAAATCACCCAATCCGAGACCGAAAAGCCAGCACCTACCTTCTGCTTCGTAATATAGGGGTCTGTAATCATCATGTGCACTAGCACCACTTCTTAGGGTGCACCATATCTACAACCTAACATGCCCCCAACCTCCATGGCAATTCTTGGGGCCCAGATTGAAGGGTTCACGAAATCACGAAATCCTGCCAGGACTCGGCGGCATATACCGTTCGCTATGGCCGCATCCGTTTTGTGCCATCGCCGCGGAATTGGTACAGCTTGTCAAGAGAACTTTCGATTGGTCCAGTTTTTCTCATGGGTTCGAGCATTCGGGTATTTCGTGCTTTAGCTGCCTGGTGGATGCATTTGGATGTAGCCAGCGCTACATGGCTTATGGGTTCTGCAAGGGTTCTATAAAGGGTTGGTTCTGAAGCTGCAAACATAATCTGCATGAACTCCTGGTCGCCCCTAAATCCTCGAGGATGCCCCAATTGCAGGGGTTTAGGGCTTAGGGTTTAGGGTGTAGGGTTTAGGAATCTCTCGGTCAACAAGCCCTACACCCGAACCCCTCAACCCAGAACCCCGAAACCCGAAACACGCATCAGGCTCAAAGGAGCCTTGCCTGCCTTGTGCGAGTTGTGAGCACCGGAAACTGTAGAAGCCACGCTGTGGGTCAGTGCCCTCCTGTGGGCTTTCTTTGCTGTAGGTGTTCTCTGCTTGATACACAATCGTCGGATGCACCTGCCTGCCCCGTCGAGCGTGAGCACCGAAACCCTAAACTTAGCCTCCAAACCCTTGAATCTCCATGTAATAGAGGGGCTTAAATCATTGCCAATAGGGGTTCCTTATTATAACTATAGTCTAATGGGCCCCCCAAACCCTATTCTGATTGTTAAGGCCCTTACAACACTAAACCCTAAACCCTAAACCCTAAACCCTAAGTATGCCGTAAAGCTTCCACACCCTCAGACTCTGCCTCGCTCACAGACCTCGAGGGAAGCAGTGTCATGATGAGGAGAACCCCACTTAGTGCAGTTATCGCCCAACCAACCCTAAACCGTAAACCCTAAACCCTAAACCCTAAACCCTACCGATTCACTCGTTTCTTTGAAGCTGCGTTGGGGTTTCGGGGTAGTGCCGAGGCCCAGCATAGCATACCCGTCAACCCGACTCGCTCAGGAACCACACATAGAGCATCGCATCAAACTTTTGAACAAGGACTCCTTCTGCAACAACTGTTTTACGCTTACGTTTCAAGCGGTCTTTCCAAGCCCTGGAAAAGGCATCTCAAACAAACAGCAGTTCAACTGTTCATAGTACTATGGAGCACACCGTGCTACCTTCAATATTTACGCCTACATGAAGACTAACAATCTAAGCAAAAGCGTCCTCGTTCTGTTTTCAAGGTGCACTTGCACAACTATCCGACCTTTCGGCGTGAGCAGCTGACGGGCATGGCCTCCACCATCGGCTTTCTGAAAGACGAGGCGAACGTTTAGGGGTTTGAGGTTTGAGGTTTAGACTTCTTTGAGTTTAGAGTTTAGGATTTAGGCTCGTGTGTCTCAGGGGCTGCACGAGGGTTTCTCAAAGGTGTTGAAAGGGTATGTTTGAAGGACGAATGGATTTGGTAGCTTGGTTCTATGTGGGCTGGGAAGTACCCTGAAAGGCAATCTTAATTACACTCCTTCGACCTGTGGTCTGCATAGGCATTGGGGCAATAGCAGAAGGGACCCGATATCCTTGGTCCCTCCAACAAGGTATCACCAGTTTCTGCTCTTAAGAAACCCACTCGAGCTCTGGGAGGCGTTGTTGCTTGCCAGATGTACAGTTTCGGCTGATCGTGTGTTGGATAATGCTTTCAGGTAGGTTTGTTCTAGCCCTGAAGTTAACTTAAAACCACGCTGAACCCAAACCTTAAACCCAAGCCCTGTGTTTTGGATGCCGAACACAATGCCTAAATCGAGAGACAGGGCACTCGAGGCGAAAGCCTTGTGCTCAAGCCTCCTCCCGGAAGCACAAAACCGTCTACGAGAGCTGATCGGGGAGGTTTGCAAAATGAAGCGCCCCGGTCGCTAAAAAAGTCAATGCGTATGTATGTGTGTATACATATATAGTTATATAGTGTTTAATGGTTAAGTGTTTTGTACATATGCAGTCTACACTTACACTGTGTATATGTTTGTGTGTATATATATATATATAGATGTATGCATTTGGAGAGCATGGATATCGGGACCCTTACTCAAAGCGCGCCATTACAGTGGAATTTTCTGAAATGCAGATGTGAAACCACTCTACGGGGAAAGGAGAGTAGTTTACGGCATAGGCTTTAGGTGAGTACTGATGCACAATAGCCTACCCTGAACTAACAACCAATGAACTAACAACCAACACAAATCGAGAAGTGTCGCAAGAAAAGCGCCGACACACCTGCAGCGAGGTGGCTGAGGCAAGCAAGACAGAGGATTACCTCGTGCTGGTTATGCATGACATGGGCCACTTTGCTCAGCGATGATACTTTCGCCCTAATTAAACTCTAGACCCCATACCCGCCACTTGCTGCTAATCCCTAAACCCTGAACCGGGCTTAGGGCTCAGGGTAACCTGAGGTGATCCCTCAGTTGCTAGAAGAGTGTGCTAGACTGCATCGCGGTGTTCTTGCTGTCCTGGAAGCTTTTGGCCGTTACACGACTGAGTCATGGCACTAGTCATGGTCTCTGCCCAAATCCTTAAGCCCCAAGCCATAAAGCCGTGAACAGCCCAGCTCTAAACAACGACACCACAAGACTGTCCTTCTGCGATTGTCGAGTCAAGCCACGCGAACTTGCATGCTTTTTTCATCTGAAATTTAGGGTTGCTGCGCTTGGAAGCAACCCGAACCCTGCGCCCGAAGCATGAGAGAGTCCGACCTCAATCACACTGAAATGCAACACTTTAGCGAAACTTTGTGCTGCAAGCCGCAAGCCCTAAACCCTTAAACCGTTCCTACCAGACATATTGCTGATCTCAAACGCTACCACTCTGATGAGCGATCCTCCGCAGTGTAACCCGGAAATCCGAACTTCAACCGGTAGTGTAACAGCACTAGACCCAAAAGCCCTCTACTCCTAAGCCCTACTACACCCCTAAAACACACCAAATGTACCACTGCCCCTTAAACACCTCGAACTTCCAACCTTCAACTTAAGGTTGCAATCTCAGGCGGACCGAAGCCGTGCCTGCCTTGTGCGAGTGCGTGAGTCGAAACCTTCAACTAAAATCCAATCATATAGGGGCCTTAGTAATTACCTAAACTATCTCGGCGGCTCCTTATTACAATTGTAGTATAATATAGTCGAACAGGTCTTGGGGAGTATATTCTACTATATTTCTAATAAGGAAGCCTCCCAAAACCCTACTCCAATTATTAGGGCCCCTACAATAATCCAGGCCAGCACTTCAGCCCCGAGGCACACGACGGCCAGGCGGCATCCAAGAAGTTCCGGAAACGCTTCGAGATTTAGACTTTAGAGCTCTGATCTTAGCCCTAAACCCTAAAACCCTAAAATCCTAAACCCTTTAGGGATAGAGATCCGAAGTCTAGCCTTAACTTGAAGGCCCGGAGCCCTAGGGCTCCAAACCCGATAGAGCAGAGAATGTTGAATGCTGGTGCTGGGGTTTAGGGTTCAGGGTTTAGGGTCCCTAAACCCTAAACTCTAAACCCTAAACCCTAAACCCAACCACAAGATCTTTCAATCCATACTGACAATTGGGTTCCTTTTATGAGGGTGCCGCACTTTGTTGGTGACCCAAAAGGGACCCGAATTGAGAGAACTACTCATGTACAGCACCCTGGTCATGTTCCTATATTAGGAGGGTTGTACACTCGGTCTTGTGTTTCGGATTAGGATTTCGGAGGGTTTCGTAGGCAGGGTGCTTCAAAGGCTGTGCATGACTCCCGTAGGTTTGGAACAAATTTTCGGGCTCCGCGCGAGAAGAACGGGGGTTGAAGCCGCTGTTACGTGGAAGCTTCCTGGATCTGTCACCGAGCTGGATTTCCGCAATGCAGTGGGCCAGGTCCAAAACTGTAGAGCAACAAAAACTCGAATTGTTCCCTCACACAAATCTTGCTGAGTTGTCGTTGCAATGTACCGTACGTACATACATATGCTACGGCTCACCTGGGATCCTAGCTGAACCACAAGCCATCAATCAGCCTCAACCTTAATCTCTCGGGAAGGGCATGGACAAACACTTCAGTTCCCTCATTAGTGTTTCGGCTTTAGGGTTTAGGGATTAAGGGGTTTCGGGTAGCAGAGGCGCCGCAGGCTGGATGCAAAAAGGGGTTGAGGGCGTTTAGGGTTTAGGGACCCAGGTCGTCGTCTGGCTAGACTGGGATCCAGTGGCACAAGACCATAAACTTCAAGTCTGACAGGGCTTCTTACTCTAGGAGGTGACATAATTACCAAACTATTTTGAGGGTTCCTTGCTATAGTTCTATTATAGCATTATATGCCTCTTCTCATTATTAAGGCTTCTACATTATTGTCATGAGCCGGCCAGGTAGAACGCTACGACTACTTCTCCAACATTGTCGCGGGCTCCAGGACCCTGGGTTCTGAACTCCACACCCGAATATGATGTAGGGGCCATAATAATTTTAATAGGGTTTTGGGGATATTATACTATAATGATAAGAATAGTAATATAAATAATACGGGAACCTCCAAAAGAGCATTGGTAATTGTTTAGGCCTCTATATAGAGGGCAAGCTGACCACCTGTCAGTATCAAGCCGACCTGCGACTATGGAACCTCGCCTGGCTTGTCCGAGCTGTGAGAGCGTAATATAGAGGTCTGAATAATTCCTAACCTTTATAGTCCAGGTTAAACTAAAGTGTTATGTATCCCAGAATCTCATTGACATGCTAATTCTCCCACAATGCACCCTAAATCCAAGCCCTCAGCCCTACACCCGACCCCTAAACCCTACTCCAGGACACTGGCTGTTTTTGCCGGCCATCTTCATCCAACTGGTGGAATGTTTCTCGGAAGCAGTATGAGGTTCATGGAGTCTCTAGCCGCAACTTCAAGCTGCGCCAAACACCCAAATCAGAACTACCGACTCTACAGCCTAAGCTAGAAGCTTCAGCATTTCAAGCTCAAGGACTAAATTTTAAATCAAAAATCTCTGGTTCAAGAAGCCCCTAAATCCTAAAACCTAAACCCTAAACCGAGGCAAGGCAAAGACCTCGCAGCTCTCAGCCTTGGCTTCAGGGGTTTCTGATCCTTTTTGGATGTTCATGGCGCGGGATTTCGAGATTGCAAGCAGGCTCAGGGTTTAGGGTCTATAGGGTTTAGGGTTTAGGGTCATCAAGTCCGGTTTCAAAAGGGTTTAGGATTTATAGGGTTTACAGGTGCGACACGTCCAATGAATCCCATTCAAGCAAGCCTGCGCAAAAGGTTTTAGGATCTGGGGTTTAGGGTTTAGGGTTCAGAAATCTTATGCCTAAGCCGTGCACACCCCAAGCCTTGACCCATTTCCTGGTGTTGTCCTGCGAGGAATGGGGCTTTTGAGACTTGCCTTCGTACGATGCGTGATAGAAGAATCGAAATCTGTAATGTAGCGGCCGAAATAATTACCAATACTATGTTGGGGTGGGGGTGCCTTCTTGTAACTCACACCCTAGGGGCTATATCATCCTACTGTAATTTAAAAGGTTAACATTGTTTGGGCTAGGGTACTCAGCTCTTTAACTCCCTTTCAATGATGTCTTCGAGCTCTCTCATCGTCCAAGAACCTATTAAAAACTGCCGTGGTGAAAGCATGGGCCTTGCAGAATGAAGGCTACAGAGATGAACAACTCTAACAGTTTGGGGTTGGTTTGGATTTAGTTAGAGTCTGGGTTTGATGAGACATGCTCTTGGAACACTTGTTGGAGGTGATCGGCCTATATTGGCAATGGGGGACGAACTCCCGAGCTGACCGGCTATATTTAAAAGCAGGGAGGACCGCTGAACCACAGACGCTATGGGCACTAAAACCCTGAACCTAAGCTCAAAGGTCAGTGGCCGCGTGATGAATTTACGGAAGTGTCTGGCCCCACCCTGTCTAGCGGTACCGAATCGTTTAGGGTTTGGGGTTTAGGGCTTAGGGCTGCAAGGCCGGAGGCGAAGAAGAGGTTCCAAGCCCAGAGCCCCAGACTCTCAAAGTTTGACCCCTGAAGCTGAGGAAAAGAGGCTTTCTGCAAGACTCCCGGCCTAGGGAGTACACTCTGCTGCAGAACACCTGGGGGGAGGTCGGGCTGTTTTCATGCTCGGGTCAAGGGCCTTACCAGTGTAGGCTTTCGTGTCTATGCGGGTATGGGCTTGGGGGCTGTAGGGTTGAACCCTAAAGAAAGCCTGGAGCATCATAATCCCTAAACCTAAAGCGCTAATTAGGCCCGAAACCCTAAACTCTAAGTTTAATGAAACCAGAGACCCTAAATACCTTAACGGAACTCGAAGCCCTAAACTTTACTGAAGCCCGAAGCCCTAAACCCAAACCCGCAAGCCCCACAACATCTCTTGGCCTTTTGGCCTTCCCCTGAGTGACAACAGTGGAGCTGTGGGGACACGGTAAGGAATCCAACACTTCCGTTAGGGCGTTAGGGTTTAGGTTGATTTGGCCAGAGAATATCGGAACGCTCTAAACTCTAAGATGCCAGTGCTGGAGGAGAAACAGAGGCTAGCCTGAACTTAAAAAGCCAGAAGATCTACCGACGGTCACCGACTCTTGGCATGGAGGCCTACACTCCCCACGCAATTCGTGACCCGAAATCCTCAAATCGAAGCCACGCCTGCTAAGCCTATAAATTCCATGCGCTAAGCCCCAATCCCCAAACTCTGCAACAGAAAGCCCGAAGTTTACACCTTTCTCCCTAAGCAGCCTACATCCCAAGTCCTTCCCGTCTTCCGCAAAACAAACCTCAAACGCAAACGCCTTAACAAAGGAAGTCAGGACAAACCCGAAAGATTGAGAGGTTTAGTGGATTATGCGAAGTAGCACTTGTCAGGACGTTTGATCGGTGTACGGAGGGCTTCTTGGGAATATTGGCGAGTGTAGATTTGGGGTTTTCTATATGGGAACATTAGAAATGCCCTCTTTACAGCTGAAAGTGGGCATTCCTTGGCGGAACTAAGCTAAGAAGCCCGAATCGGCCGTAGATTTGTCCGTTTATATGGGTGGATCCGGGCGTTGCCGGTCTGGAATTTTTCTCGTGGCCTAGGACCCCCGGATTTAGGTCTCCAGAAGGGGCTGCTAGGGCTACCATGAGGCTCGATCTGCGGCTTGGGGATGTCCAATGCTTTTATGGAGTTTCACAGGGCTGTACACCTTGGAGACAAATACAAAAACCCTAAACCCCTAAACCCATAAACCCTAAACCCTAAACCCATGAATCCTAAACCCATAAACCCTAAACCCTAGACCCATACACCCTAAACCCATAAACCTTGGAAGCCAGTCCAGAGAAAATAACCTGGAGACCTGACTGGGCAGAACATCCCCGTGATCCGGAACTGGGCTTCCTCGGAGCAGCGCTTCGTCGTGGCGCAGGTGAACGTCGCCCGCTGCGGCTGGGATCCATGAATCTACATCTCCCATACAGAGTTTAGGGTTTAAGGGTCTTCGTGGGGTTTTGGGGGGTTGTCAAAATGAGTGAGGCCAAATTCTGGTGATCCACCAAGACCTCAGTTTGCAGAACTGTATCATAAGCTCTGCATGAACCGCAAACAGCTTGTCGTGCTTGTGCCCCTAAACCCTACGCCCTAAACCCTAGACCCCTAAGCCCTAAACCCAGTCTGAACCATTACAGAACTTCAGCTCCTAGCAGCCGACAGGCTTGTCGGCCGGTGACACAGCTCCATGTAACCCCTGGACTACAACCCTAAAGCCCTTGCGCACTAGACCCTGCTCCCTGACAATGTCAAACCCAGAGCCAATCCGGAGACTATATAGAAGCTTAAACAATTACCAACGCTAAGTTTTTTTTGGAAGGGTGGGGTTCTTATTATGAATTTGCTAGAATATACCCCCAAAACTTACTCTGATGATTAAGGCCGCTATATAATGAGCCTTCAAAGGCTACTGGCGCTTTGGCTCCGTGAGCGCGCCGGGGAAGAACTCGGCAACCGCCTGGTATTCGCCGGAGAGCCAGGACGGGTTTAGGGTGTCGGGCTTAGGGTTCCGGAAAATTAGGGTTCCTTATAGGAGCATTGTCAGAAGCGGCGCGAGTGCGAGTGAGTCTTGAGTGCTAGACGAACCCTTATGATCCTCGATACTAGCTTCAGTTTCTTGGAATGTCAGTGAAGATGCGGAGTCAGAGCTCAAACCCTAAACCCTATTACATTACCCTGCAATGCGGGCTCGTCCTTGCTAAGTAGGAGGCAAAATAACCTTAAATCGTAGCTGGCACATACAGCAGAAAGGACGAAGCTGTGACGGCTGCAGCTTCTCGACGAGAAACCCTACATCCTTCAAATCCAGCCCCACCTTGACCTTCGATACCACGGGCGCCCTAAACCCTAAACCCCTAAAAACGCCCTAAACCCTAAACCCTTAAAAAAGCCCTAAACCCTAAACCCCTACCAAAAAA